AAGTTGGTTACTCACTTGTCAGTGGTTTTATTGTTGTGGGCGAGTGTGTACAACTGCACGTTTCTGCATATTTTACAATATATTGAAAGCTTCCTCTGTGTAGGAACAATGTATGCTATTCTACAGCATGAAGAAAGACAGATTTGGCCTAAAGAGTCTTTTAAATTTCAATATTTCTCAGCTTCATGATATGAATCTGATTTTAAATCAATTAGAAACAGTGGTTTGAGAAGGATAATGGGATGGCAACAGCAAATGTGCAAATTAAAATCATATTGTGGGAAAACAGAAACAATACAGGAACATGGATCAAATAGAAATTGGGCATTCAGTTTTTAAATGAATTATGGGAAATAAACCCTTCGTATAAAAACATGTTCCCTAGAAAACCTGAATGGTCAGGCTGAACTGATTTTATTTTATGTTTTGCACGAGCAGTCTCTGGTTCCACTCATCATTTATTAAGCTATGTAATTCTCTGTCTGCATCGTGTGGCATCCAGCCGTGTGACTCTCACTTTTCATGTTTATGCTGTGGCGGGACATAACCTAGTTTGATGACCAAGACTTTGGTGTAAGCCACAGCTGAACATCATATATCCACCCTGCTGGCACAGCTTTAGTGTTTTCATTCCATAATGTAAGAGTCACACCACATTCCTGTTACAACTTCTCTGCAGCACATAAAAATCTCCTCTCCAAACCACAGAGCCATGTGTTTTGAATTTTCTGTCTGTTTGTTCCCATTAACAGCGTCTCTCGCTTTTTTTTTTCTTCTGCTCTGTCACTCTTTCACACACAAACACAGATCGGCCCTCTTTCCTCGTTGATAGGCCCATAAAGTCCTCATGAAAGCATTCCATTTAGGTGCATTTGAGGTTACGGTTGTCAATGACAACAGGCTGTCAGAGAGTGGAAGGCTCTATCAGTGTTGGGGGTTTCCAGGGGAGTGTACAACACACAGAGCAGCTATTGATGGAGAATGCTTTATGGACAAACCCAGCAAAGGAGATGGTATAGGACAAAGACAAAAAGGGAAGACTTATTATTTCCCTCTGTGATGTTAAATCACATGTCTGCGATCCTTTCAATGGAATCATGTCTTGACTTCATCTTGTGTGTGATTTTAATGTAATTTCATATGTACATATGTATTAGCAAAAAACTCTGAAGCTGCCAAGTGAAATATTGGCACACCTACGTTCAAAATCAGCCAAATAACCTTTTTAAGATATCTGTGAGGATTCTCATTCATCCAGGTCATGGTCAAGCTTTAAAAGTTCGGTTTTGGCTACTGGACGTGGAGTTTTGTAGAAAACGTTTCGCCTCTCATCCAAGAAAATGTTTAAGCAACTCAAGAATCTTACCTACAGCAGGAGGGACCAGGGTTTTTATTTAATTTCTCTGTCAATTGTCTTGGAGCTAGAAAAGGAAACGTTGTTTATTATACTAAATCAGCACTTTGTCATCTCTCTAGTCTGTTTTGCCTGCGTAATTGGCCTTATATACCTCATACAGTTGGCTGTTAGGTATTTCTGGAGAATTATTATATTATGTATTTTGGGTGTTTTCACCTTGCTGGCCGTGTTAACATTTCTCAGTTTTTTATTCAACATGCTGAATCAACAAAAAAGAATTGCAGGGTCTTCACATCTGCCTGTGAGAAAGAGTGCTCAGATTGTATTCTCACCATAGAAAATGAATACACAACAAAGGTTGAACCAGTGACAGAAAGCAAACAGCTCACTTCATGTCACACACAATAATTTTTCATTTGGCAACAGCGGCTTCATTTCTCCAAGATGAGCAAAGCTTTCACAGCATCATAGCCATGTGGAGTGAATAAACTGAAGATCAGATTTTAATCACGTCTCAAAAGAGACCAGGTCTATTTAACCATATTGGAAGACACAAAGTACGCACTCTTAAGTCAAGAAATTTTCTCTTGGTCTGATTCTTTATTTTTTTCTTAATGTTCGACATATTTATTTACACTTGTATCTCCAATGTTGTCCTTGACTGTTTTAAGGTAAAAACTAAACCTTTCCAAAAGTAAGATGAAATATGTAGTTATATGTAATATATAGTAAAAAATGATACTTCAATTTAAGCCCAAAAAAATGCCATTTTTAAAATGATTTTCACCATCGTTATGACTACACGTATAGTAGATGTAAAACCACTAACTTACATGTCACAATTTAGTCAAAACGTTAATTTAAAACCATTCAAATATTTTTGAGGAGAATAAAAGATAACACCTGTTGTCCATCTGCTCTTGTCGGTTTTATAATAAGGATGAAATGGTCAAACAGTTCTGTCTAACATACCAATCTGTTACACTTATTTTTAGAATGTATGCTGTAAAACACATAATATACATGCAGTTATATAATTAAGTAATATGGACAGAGCCTTTTTGTCTGTGACCATTTTTTATTTTTCTAACCATATCCATGCAGATTTAACACCTTTATTCCTACCACTGCCAAGTGGGACTGAAGTAGAAAGGTTTGTAGTCGTGTAAAACTTAACTGACTGAAGAAAAGGGTACAAAGGTTAATATTCAAACGAGTAGTTTCTCACATAAGATTCAGGGACCTCCATTTGCATTAACTAACAGTATTCTATCAAATCTAATCAAGATTAGCAAACATGAACACATAAAAAGATCAGCATCGGAAAAGCTTTATTGCCAAGTACGTTTTTTGGAGACACAAGGAATTTGTTTTTGAGTAGTTGGTGCATGATCACTATCTCAAAATGTGAATATCATAACTGGAATTAAGTTTCACAGTATAAATGCAACTGGGGATATATATGCACAGTAGGTTAAGTGAGTAAAAGTAAAATGGATAGATGAGCTGTATGGCCATGTGCAGGTGATTACAATGTGCAAAGTCATTCTAAATCAAGTATAAATAGAAGTCTAAACAGAGCTGAGCGTTAATGTAACGCATAGAGTTGTGGGTGAAGAGTCATGTGACTTGTGGAGATAGAGGTGGGGTAGGAGATAGGACTAGGGTCAGAGTTCGTTCTGGGCCTTGTTGATAAGGCTAGTGGCAGATAGGAAAAATTAACTTTTTTTGTTGCATGAAGATTTTGGCCCTGGTGGACCACAGCCTTCTTCCGTAGGGGAAAATCTCAAAGGGTTTGTGACCGTGGTGGGAGGAATCCGCCAGGGTCTCGGATTATGACAGTTGTGATGAAAGCCTGATGGCCCTGTCTTCTGAGTGACCTGCCTCCCACTCAGACAGCTGGAATAGGCCTCAACTTATTGACATAGAGAAAGTGACTATCAAAGAAATGAATGGATTGCTCCTAAATTTAGATGAATATGACTGAACTGGATTAGAACCAGGTTCAAATAACTATCTGTTTTCTGGGATGGCCATTTGTTGACCGTCATACACATAGTGAATTAAATTTGGACAAATGATTAGACACAAGTTTTTTTTTATTTTATATTTCCATACAACATGAAACAGAGAGGGTTTTATCAAGATCTGAAGCAGCAGAATCAGTTAAGAAGCTGTTCAGTCTTTTCAAAAATCTTAGTGATTACTCCCATTTAACATTTTTATCGTTTTAGTTTGATTACTTTAAAAATTCGAAAACATTCGCTTTTTGTGGTCTGGATTCAAAAGTTTTAATACTGATAAGATAATTGGCAGATTTATCTTGTGGCTCACTGAAGTTTCTTTTCAATAGGAGGGCAGCTATTTCTTTATTCTTTATTTTTTAAGACTTCCCTTAAAACAATGGCACAAAAAAATTCAGTCAATTAAACAATAAAGTGAAACGTTTCTTTGAAGTGGCTCATATGACCTGATTGGATACTGGATTCTCTCTTGCTAATTAGAATATTAAAACACCAAACAAAGCTAGAAAAATCGAGTTAATGATAATTTTTAATGAGAAAAAACTAAATTCATAACTCAGTGTTTGTCACCTGTGGGAGGAGGAAAAATACAGCACGATAAAGTGTAAATCTGAGATTGAATTCGTCTGTAGATTGTGAATGACTGTCTTTGGAAATAGTGTTGGGGATTTCAGTTCTGCCACAAACACTACACCATCCACACAAACACGTTCCCTCCTCCCCCTTCAGGAAACCTGTTCTAGAGGGAGTGACTTGATCCAGGCGGCGTCCAATTATATGAAAGCAGCACTTATTCCACTTTATTCCAGGGTGCAGTTAAGTGGCATGAAACCCTCAGAGAAATACAGACTTGTAGAAGCTGAAAAGAGAGAGACGTTAACCGTAAGTCGTTTACGTGAGGAGATAAAGACAAAAGACAGAAACATCCACTAGTGTGGCGTCTGAAAGGAGACAGAGGATGCTCCAAATCAAATCCACGGGGAGATTTTTTTTTTTTCACTCTTTCGTCTGGAAATACACGGGCTTCATATAAATGATTCATGAGAGCCCCGTTCTATTTCTATGGGAGTAATTGCGCTCGGTGAGTTTCAGCTGAACCTGACAGTCGACAGAGACTATAGGGCCAGAGCCTGGAGGAGAGAGTAAAGACTGAAGTCAATTCATTTGGAAGAGTTTGATGAGCGCCCTGTTAAACCTGCGCCGGTGTTCATCAGTCACAGGAATCAACTGTTGCTGCGGCCGGACGGAGGGCACAGACATTCTCCAAGTGTGTCTGGCTCTCACAATGGATGTTTAGTCGTCATCTGCCTCTGCATGAAGCCACTCCACTCGGTTTTGTGCAATTATCATGGAAGAGAGACTCACGTTGTTGATGATGTATCGAATATGATCTGTCCTGATGTGATGCCACATGGTTGCACAGAGGGGGAATTATAATATCACACACTACTGCCGGCTTTTTTCCACACTGATTGAGCATCTCCGAGTGTCAAACAATACACTCCCATTCTCGTTTTTCTTTGTGCAAAGGGGACCACTCTGGGCTTTTTCAACTCAAGAACGCGCGTCAAAATTGACAGGCTTTGCGTTAAAGTGACCTTGCCTTGCGGAATATCATCATGCTGATGATGATGGAGAACAGCGGCATGGACGCGCATCAGGTTGATATCGATTCGGAATTTGAGCCTCGTGGCCGGTCGCGGTCGTGTACCTGGCCGCCTCCTTGCGCGGAGGATTTCCACGGGGGAGAAGAGGCGATCCGGGGAGATCTCGCCCTGGCGACTGTCAAAGTAGAGCGGTACAACGCGCCGGCGTGCCGGGCCGAGAGGAAAGGTGGCGCGCCGGGTGAGATCGCGCACCCCGCCGGGGCTCCGGCTCCGGTCGCGGCCGCCCCCGCCTGCATGTCCGGGGCTGCGCTGGACGTGGCCGGCCAGCTGCGCAAAGCCAAGTCGTCCAGGCGGAACGCGTGGGGGAACCTGTCGTACGCAGACCTCATCACCCGTGCCATAGAGAGCACCCCGGAGAAGAGGCTCACCCTGTCGCAGATATACGACTGGATGGTGCGCTTTGTTCCTTATTTTAAGGATAAAGGCGACAGCAACAGTTCAGCCGGATGGAAGGTAGGACACATGAAATATCCTTTTTTCTTCCACAGCAAACGATGAAAGCTACACTATTTTTTTTTTTTAGCTCCAGTCTCAGTTTACAGCATAAATCCCTTTTTTGTGTATATTTCAAAGCCACATAATTGACCGTTGTTCATGTCGGTGGTAGCCTATATCTTCGTGTCATTCCACACTCCACGGTGTGGGGAAATGGGCGGTGAGGGCGCATGGATTAGGGTTCACTGGGTTAATCGCTTTTAGGGATGCACCCTGTGAATGCAAGAGAAGCCTCACAGAGCCAAAGTCATCATCCTCAAGATTTACTCTCGAAAATACGCGCCCGTGACGCATTCACGTTCTTTCAGCCTGCTTATGGCGTGTGCTTCCATGACATATCGGGTCACGCAGTGTGCGCTCTCGGGCTGATTTTCGCCTGCACGCCTTTAAGATTGTCACATGCCGGATTGGTTTTCGGCCTCAACCCCTTCACCCCTACCCCCCCACCCCACTACACACACACACACACACACACACACACACACACACACACACACACACACACACGCGCGCACTTACTCCAACTCCGCGCACTGGCTATGCAAAAGCAAAGCACAAAGCAAGGGTCTCAAAAGCGCAATAACAAGAGATGATGACATCGGGTGTCACAGTAAACAGATGTAAATACAGATTATCCCCTACATTCAAATTATTAATCTGATAGATTGGCAGTTCTAATCTCCTTAAATGACAATCCATTCTGTATTGACATAAGTAGTCTTTTGTTTTCAACATTCTAGCTCCTCCTCAGTCCGTTATTTCTTTTCTTTTCTTTTTTTTTTGTAAGAAGTTAAACCTGTCTATAACTGCCAAGTTTGGCACACATTAAAACGACAGAGTGTCCCATTATATTTGCAAGTTCAAATGAGCTCAGCTGAGCTTTTAGTGGCCAGGACAAAGAGTTATTTTTAAAAAAATGTCACTTGTACTGTATGCTTTTGTGTTTACAGCACTTTCCTGCTCTATGGGAAATTTACAAGGACAGCAGGGTCAGCACTGCACTTAATGTGAGTTACTAAATGTAAATGACTATAAATAAAGAAATGGAAAGCAGCCTTGAGTTTGATCAATTGGATAGCTGTCTATTTGTTTGCTTTGAAAAAAGAAATGAGTAGAGGACGTTATTGTGAGTATTGTACTCAAGAATTTGACAATACAAAAGAGAGGATATGTTTTATTTTCCAAATAATTCTAAATTCAGCTACAGAAGCTGAAGTATCCTGATTTTTGTCCCAGGATTGTAATAAAAATGGTTTCCACACCAAATCTCCAAAGTGTATAATTTCATTATATTTTCCATCTCATAATGATGTTTGAATAATACAGTTTTCAAACTTCTGTGTTACCAATAATACATTACCTTTCCTTTGTAGTAGCACCAGCAGTACAATATGTGTAGAATGACCACACTAGACCCACATGATATGTAGATCTAACACATAGAGTTACACTTACATGTTACACAATACACAATTCCATTTATCAATTCAACATGATTTACGCTTACAAGTTTCTATTCTCTAGTCATGATTCTTGTCAAGTCACTTAAGGTTCTGTAAAAGCTCTGTTTGAGTGATGGATAGAGTGTAAATAAGGGATAGAGAAACACATTTTCGACAGCTTGACTGTACCTAAACATGGTTAAAATGGCTATGATTGTAAATTAACATAATTGGGGTCACAACTCTGCTATGTTGATGCACGAGATATGCATTACATGGTGGGCCTGGACTATTTCATCTATAACTTTAAAAAAAAAGTAAATAAAATATTTTTTTCACAATTTGGGGATGACTTGTTCTCTTCAGAATCCTTTTGCTTGAATTTCATTGTAGCTCCTTTCTTCTTTCACCAAGTTTTTGATTTTCCGAGAAGAAGTAACACAAGTTGTGGTGGGATTAACGGTCATTTTACTATCTTTGAGGGTGACACTAGACCCCGGAATCCTCTCCTTCCTCCTGTAGTGTTGTCCTGTTCTCACAGCCTTTTTTAAAGGGCCAGTGTGTATTTTCATTATCCCCCTATCATGAGCTTTACTCTACACTTAAGTTAAACAGCAGCGAGGCACAGATTAATCATTGTGAAATCATATAGAATTGGATTTAAGGCAGGGGTTTAATTCTGTGGGACTTGTTTGCCCTGGACATAGAAACACAGCTGGGGGCTCGCTCGGTCCATGTCATAAGCTCTGTGGGGAGGGTTTGATTGGTCGCTGTGGCAAAAGAAACTGATTGGCGGAAGACAGATCCCAGTCCAACTTGAAAAACAACGCTCCTCAATAACAATAACATCGACGAAAACAACATGAAGACGTTAATGTGATTTGCAACACAGAAGTAAAAAAACGGCTTGCGCGCGTATTTGTTTATCACATGTATATACACTTTGAATCTAGTTTGTTTGAGAAGCATGGTGTTGGGGAGGGGTTGGGTCGTATGACTATGGATGGATGGGCTGAATGGGAGGAAAATAAGATACAGTCAGACTATTGCTATTAAAAGCAGTCTTTAAGAGCTATTGTGTAATCTAGTCTGAGAAGCTTTTTGTTTTCATTTGGGGCTGTGGCTCTTCCTACTCCCTAATTCAAACAGTAGGTACACAAACACATGTACTTCACACACTGCTGAGGTGGCAGCCTGTTGTTAAGGCGTCAAGTGCTGAGGCAACTGTGGCAGACATGACTGCTGTCAGACTTGTTAGATACAGTTTATGGACTTATCTAAACATCTCTACAAATACTTTTTTAAACACACACGTTGAAGGTGAACTGTATGGCCGCGGGGTTGTCGCATTGACTATGTATGGATTTCTCTGCCTATTCAGAAATTGTGGTCAAGTGTTTTGTTCTTGTTGTTGCAGCTGAGGTGGAAGGCTTTGTTCGGTCATATATAGTGAATTCATTTCTGTAGGTGGCAACAATGCTGGTAGTGATTGAGGCCACCTCTCTGACTCCCTCTCTCTGTCTCTGTTACACACACACACACACACACACAGTTATGTTCATTTCACAAGTGGCTCTGCGTGGGAATGGATGTGCTGAGCTGTGGCCTGTCTGCAGGCTGTACTGTATACAGATGCAGCAGCAGATTTGAGTTCTCTGACTCTACCTGAAGGTTTTACCAAGCAGCATGTTGCATGCACATGGTGGGTGTATAACTGTTAGAGTGGGTCTATGATGGACTGACACACACTGATCAAACTACCACGCATATAAAGATCATTGATAAATTAAGAAATACATTCATTCTTGTGATGTTCAGAGGTTGTTATTGTTTTAGTGTTTCTACGTAGGTTTAATCAGCAGCAGATTTTCCTTAGGTTTCTATAGACTTATTTTAGGATATAGACTTCTATGTTCATCACCTATCGGTAAAAACTGATCGAAGACAAATAGTGCATTCTATTTTTCAGTTTTTACTGTCCACACAAACTGAGAACGGTTAAATCTGCCCATAAATGCACAAAAATATTCAAGCACATTATCACTTATGACCAGTTAGGGATTTTGTTTAAAATTCCTTGATTCTGAGTCAAAATAACGCTGATTCTGATTCTGACCATCTCGCTCAGACTCAGAATGACTCAGATTCAAAATGCAACAGCTTTCATTGTATTGTGCTATTTATCATTACTGTGGTAACAGCTTCTTACACTAGTTCTTGTCAATGAACTTGAACTTATCAATGAGGTAAAAATTAAAATATTTAGAATTTTTTGTATAATTCTCAGGCCTTAAATACAATTCTGACTGTCCTGATGGTGATCAGTGTAATCACAAGGCTGAGCGAGAAGCTAGAAATTTGCAGTTCACGAATCACTTTCAAATGATTCAGTTTTAGTATGTTCACTCAGCACTTAATGACCAGGTGAGGTTACATGTTGGACGACAATTTACATTTTCCTTCTCTCATTTATAAGGTGATCAGTATTTGAAATTCTCTTGAGAATATATTTACTGTCATCCATTTCAGGCATCTGTCTTGTATGGCATTCACTTTCAGTGGGGTTACTGTGTATTATCAAAAATAATCCATGATCTTGTGTGGAATATAGCTAAATTTAAGATTTAAAATCAGCAGTTCAGGTGCCAGCTGGGCCGACTGATTCCACAACTGACCTGTTGCTACATTTACAGATATCAGGCGAATTACTATCAGGTGTTAACATATTGCTTCAGTTTGAATACTACCAAAGGCCAATAAGGTAAAACGATTTATAATGGTCTGCTGTTTAGGTCCCACACCCACATTTCATACTTTAAATTTTTGAGACATGATAACTTTTTTGACAGCTTTAACAATAGCGACACTTCACTTTAAATTGACCTAATCTCTAATTACTGGGAGTGAGAGATTTTTTAGATGTAATATGCTTCTAATCTGCTCATAATACATTATCATTTACTTCATGTAAGTGTCCCTGCCCACGATGATGGAGATCATGTTGCTTTGTTGAGATTCCACATGCCAATGATAGAGAAAGAAAGTAGTGCACATTACTGAGACTCAGAGGTGAGGAGAAAAAGACGAAGACACACGCTGAAGAAGGAGGTGTCCTGCCAACAAAAGCTTTTATTGAATCGAATTCAGAACTAAGAAAGTAAAGTAGTGACAGGAGGAGAGAGAAAAAGACAGAGGGAGTGTGTGAGTGGTGGTTGTCGCCCCTGCTGCTGAGCACATTGATAGCAGCTTGAATGACTGTGATGCTCCAGAGCGTGCCCAGACTTTGGGGAATTGGTTGGAGATGGAGGAGAGCTTAGAGGTTTCCTTGTGCCAACTGGCCTGGCACAGGCTCAACAGAAAGCCCTCTGCACCGTTACACAGTTATTGTTATAATCACAAAGGGACAGCAGAAGGAGAGGCATTTCTTGAGATTGGCGGGTTTGGCGCTGGGTTAACAGGGACAGAAAATGAAGTGACACACTTGGAAGACGAGAGATGTTGGTTTTTGAATCTGAG